ATGGCCACCACATGCCGTTGGAGGAGGTCATTGTAGGTCCTCCAGTGCCTGTGGGTGCTGTGGGACCGGGTGGGTGGTGGCACAGGGGTTGAGCGGAGGACAGCAGCAGCAGGTCCGGCTGTGGAGAAGAAGAGGGAGAACCGAGAGTGTTAGCAATTCACACACAAGTCCATACAACAAGGGATGGGAATGTTGTTACTGGTAGGCCACGTCTGGCCTTGTGCCCTTCCCAGCCGCCTCGGCTGCACAGGGGACCCGTTGTGGCTAGGACAATGTCCACCTCCACCCCCTAGATCCTCCCGCCCTCCACTGTGGCTGTCCAGGCCAGATCAGTGTGCAGCCACAGTAGGACAGGGGCCTGCTGCACCTTGGGTCTCCCATGCCCCCCACCCACATACCCACCACCTGCCCGCCTGCTTGTACATGCACAGAGAGATGCAAGCTGTCCAGGAGGGAGGACCAAGATGTGAACACTGCTCTGCATCCTCTCTGCTCCCACCTCCCCTGTTCTGTGTCTGCACTCACCTGATGTTCCTTCTTCTGCGTCAGACGCTGCCTGCGAGGCTTCCCCTGAATCTGGGACAGGCTGCAGACTCAGGGTCAGGGTGTCCTCTGTCTGATCCTGTGCCTCCTCCTCCTCCTCCACGTCTTCCATGGGGACCTCCTGCTGGCTATGCTGCACCGGTGTGTGCAAGCCTGTTTGCACAAGCACCGATGCAGACATTTGTTCCTGGCCTCCCAGGATGCGGTCCAGCTCTTGAAAGTAGGTGCAGTGCACCGGGGCTGCACCTGACGCCGAGCTCTGCGCTCGCGCCTTCATATATCCCTGGCGAAGTTCCTTAACTTTTGCACGGACTTGCTGGAGTGTCCGTGGGTGGTGCCCTTTATTGGCCAGCCCCTTAGCCATGCGGCCATAGATGCTGGCGTTCCTGTGCCGGGTGTGCAGGGCCTGCACCGCTTCTTCCTCCCCCCACAGTTCAAGCAGGGTCAGGACCTCTGTCCCTGACCAGGCTGGGGCTCTCCTTTTGTCGCCTGTGGTCACCAGGGCTGGCTCCCTCGAAGGTCCTTGGGGGCCTCGTGGCGCTGGAGCTGCGCACATGGCTATGTGCAGGTGATGCTGGGAGAGCTCTGGGCTGACAGGGTCTCTCTGTGGCCAGCTTCCTGCCACAATGCCTGCCAGAGATGTCTGTGCCTTTAAAACATGGCTACAGACAGGACCAAGAAGAGGTTTTTCCTAAAGAAGGACTCTCCAGCAGGGGGCTTCCCTGGAGGTCTCCTTCTGTCGACAAAAGAAACCCCTGCGTCCAGACTACCCTTTTGTCGACAGAACTCTGTCGACAAAGACGTTATGCCTCGTAAAATGAGGTATACCAGCGTCGACAAAACTGCTGAGTTCTGTCGACGTTATGTCGACAGAACTCAGCGGTAGTGTAGACGCTGGTATAGTTTTGTCGACAAAAGTCCACTTTTGTCGACAAAACTAGGTAGTCTAGACACACCCTATGTGTCAGTTGTTCCTACACCCAAACAATGAACATGATGTTTGAGGTTGAATGTGCTTTCAGGAGGATGTTGTCACACTGCAGGAGTGGATGAGCCATAAAGTATTTACTTTGCATTAAATGTTCTAGGGGAAATAGAGATTTCGCCTTGAAAATTAATGCTGCTTTTGGCAGAAGCAACATTAGACCCACCAGTTTGTTATCTCAGAAGCAGTAAAAACCCACAGATGAAAAGCAGGTGGCCAATGGCAGCATAACCACAAAGCAAGTTGTGTCCTACCAGAGGGAAGGGAGTCTATAGCAATACACTGTTGGAGCCCGGACTCCTTGCATGCTTTCAAGAGTAGGACTTTTAATGGCCCACGTTCCTTTGCTATACATGAGGCTACTGATCACCTGTTTGTGAGGTAAGAATACCTCTGATCCAGGGCAGGACTTGC